AATAAAAAATAAATAATAATTAATTATATTTTATCATTTGATCACAGTAATTGAATATATTATAATTCTATGAATAATCTATCATATCCACAAACCAATTGAAATTTATTCTTTAATAATTATTTTTTTATTTTTATTTTTAGAATTAAAAAATAATTAATTATATTTTATCATTTGATTACAATGATTGAATATATTATAATTATATGGATGATCTATCATATCCATAAATCAATTGAAATTTCTTCCTTAATAACTATATTTTGAATTTATTATATAATGTTTATTTATTTTTTATAATTTTTGGAAATGAATAATAAATAATAATTATTAATTACATTTTCACATAGAAATTGTGCTAATGCATGTTTTATGGTTGGATAGGAGAGTTGAGTTTTTCCCATCACATAAAACATTAAAACTTAATAATTATAATTTATAAATTATAGTTAAGCATAGGATTTTTAATGAAATTATAATTAGCTACAATATATTTCTTCATAAAACCATTAAAATATATTAATTTAATGTATATACACCTCATTGAGGTCTTATATTTAGTATTGTTGATGTATTTTTATGATTTGTTAAAGTATTTATAGTGTTTTCAAGCGTATCTATGCGTATCTTAGTTTTTCTCCGATATGCATGCGTATCCATGGTTTATCCTGATACGTCTCTTAAAATTGCCTTTCCAATACACTTGGCGTTTCCGATACTTTAAACTTTGGTAATAGTAACATCAATCTTAAGTCCATTCTTCTTAGAGAACTATGTGTATCCAAGGTTTATGCCGATACGTCTCTTAAAATTGCCTTTCCATTACACTTGGCGTTTCTGATACTTTAAACATTGATAATAGTAACATCGATCTTAAGTCCATTCTTCATAGAGAACTGTGTTAATCTATAATAGGTTCTTCTATTTATAGATATTGTTAACAGGAAACACAAATTAGATTCATATAGTTTTTCTTTTGCCTCCCCATCCCCTTGCCTTGCCTCCTAAGCTCTTTGAGCCTACTGTTTTGTTGCAAGCAGCATGGGAATCCACATCTAACAACCCATTCTCCAGTATCCATACCAAGTTCTTGAAGCCTTCATCCTCCTCTACTCGTTGATTAATTCCTGAATAAACTGGTCCCTCTTTTGTTGCAGCCTTATCATGTGTTGCACCAACTAGATAAAACGCTTCCATCACTATATCTTAGAAATGTTGTACTTTATTTAATTCCTCCTCCACATTCTCTCTGTAATACTGCTTGCCGATGATCATCATCATCACATTGAGTGTTAACTCAAAAACGTCGACTTCATATCTACCCCCTCAGAACCAGAGGAGGCAAGCCATCGGATGATCATTGGTGCGTGAGTGGGAAACTTCTAAAGATGATTGGTGGACAATATCTAGAGGTTGCTGATGTGCTAGTGGTTTTCATACAAGAACCAAGCTATGCCTGAATAGTTGTAACCTATGTATTTCTCGTTGGGGCAGACAAGAATCATGTCGAACTCCAATAGTATGCAATTGATCAGCTTCGGTGGGGACCATTGTCTCCATATTGAAGAAAACAATCTTTGGGCAATCTTCCCTTGAACCCATTTATAAGTAGTGATCAAATGGATGTGTTGTTGTATTATTTTATTTTGTCCATTTGGTGAACAAATGAAATGAGCGACGAAGATGAGGTGCGGTTCATGGAGGAAGGACACAGGAAGAGGAGTTGTGACATATTCTGAAAAAAAAACCCGCAATTGATTATGAGAGAAATGAGCTTCCTTTCCAAGAAACCATGGACCTATCATCTCCTTTGTTACCTAGTTTTTCCATGACAAACTGAATGTTTAAGTGGTCGACTCTCAAAGCTTGGAGGTAACTTTGAAGGAAAGCCAATGGATTAAGCCATGCCAAGTTGCAGAGTGCACATACATCTAGTTTGGTTGTGTTGAAGTAGGGATCAATGCGAACCAGTGGTTGTATTGTGTGCTCTTTGCATTCTGAGCAAAACCATTCATCTTCACCTCTAAAGATGACTGTCCACATGGTACGACAAACACTACTCGTAAATGGCCTGAAATGATGTGACACGGATTAAGGTCTACATTCTTAGAATCTCATATCGGTTCCCAAAGTAAACTCATTTTGAGTTTGGGTCGGTTGAGGATAATAGGTTATAGTATTCATCTCCAGATGAAACTGTTAACAGTATATGCACTTAGATCTAATCAGACTGATGTACATGAACATATATTTGTAAATGAATAAAGTAAATTATTGTTTCATGTTAATATTTGTATGTTTCGTGTATTTACCCTTTAAACTGGACACTTATGAGACTCGTATTAGTTTAGAATGTTTTCAGCCGTTGGATAGACTTGGGGAATTTATCCTGTCAAGGCTAACACTGATGTGCTGCCAAAGAAGTTGGGACAACTTGTCTTAACTGATAGGGTTAGACCCGAAACATATGTAGTGTGTGTTTGGATGAAACACTAAACTTGGATCATTTTCCAATTATGCCCTGGACCTTGGAGATTGATGGTCAAAACTAGAAAGCTACACATAACTCCGGACTTGATTATGGTACTACACTAGGTGTTAGATTGAGTTGTCTTTAATATGTCGATCAGTGAGATACATCAATGATCAAAATCTAGGTATGTTGGGGCAGTTTGAGAATTCACCTAAGTGGGTGATCATAGTGATAGGATCGGCCCCTTTGTTGGACAAAGTGAATGATAGGATTTACACTATCTCTAATGGAAACCTAAACTGTTAGTAGTGAATTTCAATTGTGTTTGAAATTTGATTTTGCAAAATATATTTATGATATATGTATTAATGTTTTATGAAAAATGATTTCAATGTTTTAAATTCGAGATCCATCTGAGTAGAGAGTGTGACACTGTACCTTGCACCCAGGGGAGAGGTTCTTCCTTGTCGAGCAGTGTTGTGATCATTATGAGCCGAGAGGATAAGTGTAAGAGACCATTATAGGGCTGATTACCTGATGGACTTTATAATACTTAAGTTCATTATCCTTGGGTCTTCATAAGATGGCTGAATTCAATGATCATTTAGGTGTAAATGTTGGGCCCGTATTGAGCCTATAGTGATGTGCTTAGGGGTTCATTGCGTTTAGTAGTGAATTTGACCAAGCCTTTTCACAGAAGTTGGTCTAAATCCATGTGGACTTATGTGAAACTATTATGGGGTCCCACACCATACAAATTAGGCCTAAGTTGGCTATGCAACATCTTAGGTCATGAGCTTTTGAATTAAATGGGCCTAATGCCCATTATTAATAAGATTAAGTAAGTTCACATGAGAACTTAAATTGTCATGTGCTCTAAGTCAAATTTGGGTTTGGAAATGGGTATGAAACACTTATCCTCTTAAGAGAATAAGGTTTATCTCTTAATAGAGTCCAGACTAGAACACCACTCTTTTTTGTTATCTCTTATTCTCTTTTGTCTTCCAAGAAACCCTATAACGACATAGGCTTTCAAGAATTGATTAGATAAGTTTTCTTCGTTGTTTTTGCAAGAAAAATTTAGAAGAAAATTAGGCTCACTTACCTCATTCAATTCAATCAAGTTGGATCATAGTTTTGCTGAAAACAATGTTGCTAAACCGGCTTCACCTACACACTACGCCATCTTTAGTGGAGGTTGGTTTTATGATTGATTTGAGCATGAACTTCCACTTTGGGATCTGCATTTGTGGAATCCGTATCAGGTATACATCTCCCTCTTTGTTTGGTTTCAAATCTAGTTTGGTTCAATGCAAGATTGATCCGAAAAATTTAGTTTTCAAATTCACTAGGAAATTGATTCCTATAAGGGTTAGAAAATTTTTTGAAATTTCGCCTAGCCATCTAGCATGGTTCGATCATCCATATGATGGATTCAAAACCCTTCCAACAAAAAACCATCAATCTCGGGATTGAGGATTTTCATCCATCCTAACATATGATTGAAGGTGTGGTTTTTCTTGAACCAAAACCACCATTGTTTTAATGGGAAGCGACTTTGTGACTTAAAAAGGCATGGTTGTTACTTTGTTGGGTTTGGACTCCTTATGTCATGATAGCAACCATCTTTGTGTTGTAACTTCATTAGTGACCACATGTTCTGAGGTTTTTTAAGAACAATGTGGATTACTGTCCAATCCACAGTTATGATATTTTCTACAACAATTTGTTGCTCCACCCAACCCCAAGATGTAGTCGTTCTGGGTGAAGATCAGTCGCCGATAAGGGAGACAATGACGAAGACAAAGATAGAGATGGAGTGGACTTAAATGAAGAGGTATTTTAGGAATTTTTGGAAAATATATCAACTACGTAATGTCACATGTAAAGAAACATGACAAAAAATTAACGATAAGAAAAGCTTTAGACAATTATCAAGAGTAAAGGTGTCAATGGACTGGAAAGTCAAGTTGGACGGATTAGACGGACCAAAAAGACATAGTAGATTGGACCAATCCGATCCAAGATATTTATTAGATTGAACTGGACCTATTCCATCCGTAATAAATTTATATTGGATTTGGTGGGTTTGGGTTGAAACCAAGCTAAATTAAAATGAATTTGAACAAATTGAATGGTCTAAACATTGAATTGGACCAGTCCAAAATAGTCCAATTTATTCATTGGATTGGATTGGACCTGGCCCATTTGTAATGGATTCACATTGGACCGGATCAAATTAGACCAAATCCAATCCAATCAACACCCCTAATCAAGAGATAAACAAGATAGAATTAGTAAATTAACTAAATCATAAGGGTATTGAAAACATCTCCCGATGATGAATTCGTAGGGCGCCCCAACTCAATTCGAGATCGTGAGTAGCGCCAGCGAGGTCATTTTTGATAATTGCCCATTCTACATCCCCACCCCAATAGTCTGTGGATTATGCTGTCGTGACACGTGTCCAATGGATGGCCTCACATGTTATTTCAAAAATCCATTTGCAACAACTTCAGTCGGTCCTCTCCCTCCAAAGTCCAAACCTCTCATCAACTCTGTCTCTGCTCTCACTTTCTTCTATCTTCATCTCTGAAGTTGCCATGGCTGTGGCACAACTCTCACCTTCATACACAGAAACTCGTTTTCTTTCTTCTCAACTCTCATCCGCTTCAACCCGTCTCTACAGCCGCCGTCGGCAAGCACTGCGTCCCTCTTCCAAAGCACGCAACGCCAAAATTGTGTGTTCTGTTGCACCCAAGTAAGTTTATGCTTCTCCATTTTCTTTGTTCATGTCTTTTCTTCTTCTTCTTCTCTATCTTCTGTTGCTTTATTTCTCTTCACACCCCATTTTTGTTCGATGTCAGTGAAGTTCAGGCCCCAATCACTCCGCAGACTAAAGGGACCAGAAACAAGCCCGACTGCTTCGGAGTGTTTTGTGTTACTTATGATCTCAAAGCTGTATCTTCTTCTTACTGTTGTTTGCTTTCAATGAGTTGAAGTGATCTTTGCACCTTTCAATTCGTACTATTTCGTTTCGGATGATTGCTTCAGTTGACATAATTGCAATCTTTTTTGTTGGGAATCTGTATTATCTTTTATTCTCTATACTATCAGTGAAGTCAATCTCTGTGCATTGATTAACCTTGTTTGTTTGTTTGTTTTTTTCCTTCTTTCCTTTTTGTGTTATGTTGGCAAAGTGTTTGGCATATCCTTCTGTTCCCAAATACTAGAAGGGAAAGAAGATTGTTAACAGTGATTTGATATGAGGAATTTGTTCTCTTGCAGTTATGTGGATAACTAGTGATTCTATCATTAACATTGCAATGTTTTTATTGATTCTACCATTGCTAATAGATCCTTCTTTTATTGTTTTTACAGGAAGAGGAAACAAAATCATGGAAGAAATTAATCAACATTGCGGTTTCAGGTGCTGCAGGGATGATATCTAATCATCTACTTTTCAAAGTAAGTTACAGCAATTGGATCCATTATCATCATTGGCTGCAGAAGAACATTTTTCTCCACCATGTGTGATCTGTTACAGAAGCCTTCTATCCCATACCGTTATTAATTGAATAAGATCCAAATGTTTTCATCTAAACCCATGCCTATCTAGTCTTTTTTAATTTTAACGTGCATCAAAGAATTCATTCTTCCTGGTTCAATCCATTGGTCTTTGTTTCATGTTACTATACCACAGTCAACTTTGTGTCAATTGGAGCAACTCCTGAATTCCCTTGAATGTAAAAAAAGGTAATTACCAATGTTGTTCCCAGGTATCTGGGGTGTTGGTAGGGGTAGGTTGCCCCTTGATTCTCTCTAGTTTTCTGTGCTGCCACTCATCCATATCAACATCTAGCTCTTTGTGGTCCAATTAATCTCCAAAGTGGAATATGTTAAACAGTGGGTCCTGATCCTTCAAACAATGATACAAGGCATTGATCACTAATTGTATGGCCCCAGACCCAAGTTTATGAAATGTTTCTCCTTGAAATGGGGATTCTTTTCTTCCCTTTAATTTCTGAAAGATGAAAAAGAATTGGTCAAAAACTATTGACGGACCTCCCATAGCAGGGACAATGGAATGCAACCGAAGTCACTTTTCTTGTAAGATATAGTAGATTTTCCGATTACAGTTTATCTGCATGAAACTCAGTTATGTTTGGCTGAAAATTTTACCTTAGCTGTTTCAGAGTAGGAACCTAACTTGTCTTTCTATGCCAGCTTGCATCTGGTGAGGTTTTTGGGCCAGATCAACCCATTGCATTGAAATTGTTGGGATCTGAAAGGTCATTTCAAGCACTTGAAGGTAGATGGAAATTGGCAAATCAGGCATATTATTGGCAACAATATAGTAGTTCAATTGCTACTACTCTGAGATGAGATTTTTAGGATTTTTTGGTTATAGATAGCTCCTTACCTGCTTAGTGCATTACTTCTTAGCTTCTAGTATGGCATTATCCTGATCTATTTCCGGAAGACTAGTTTGTTCTCAAATCCTATCAAACATCAGGAAAATTTAATGTGATTTATCTTTACATTATATCAATGGGTAAATTTTGATTCCATCCTAGGCATTAAAAACTATTTCGTATTTGATATCATAATCATGCAATGTGATTTCTCTTTCAATAACTTGGCTTGCACTTATGGAATGGTAGACCTTTCTCTACATTTCTATAATTTTGCAAAGACTATGGAATTTAGTTTGGACATAAATGGCTAAAGGGAACAAAACACACAAATTACTTATATTTAAAATTATGTGAATCATTAGGAATGAATATCTTGATATACTCTGAGGAAAAATATAAAGAAAAAGCAATAACATTCATGCTATAATATCTGTGTCCCATTCTTCTCCTTTGATCCTTATTGAATTTTCATTGCTCATAAAAAAGTAATATCTAGATGCTTGCTATAAATGAACCACTGAATCTTGTCTCTTAAAAGATCAATTAAATTGGGTTACTTTTTCACTCAAAATCAACTATAAATTCTTAGTGCTAAATTTGAAAGTGATCTTGTACAATACTTTGAATGGTAGAATAATGATAGTAGGAAGATGATGATTATGCAAATTGTGAAGACAATTGTAGATTTCCATGACTAATTTAGTATTATTCTGATGTCATCCTGTTTATTGAGCTCAAGTTTATGACTTTTTGAAATTTTAATTCTAATGTGTTGCCTTGGCATGCACAGGAGTCGCCATGGAACTGGAGGACTCCTTGTACCCCCTGTTGAGGGAGGTAAGTATTGGTATCAGTCCTTATGAGGTGTTCCAGGATGTAGAATGGGCTCTTCTGATTGGAGCAAAGCCTCGAGGGCCTGGAATGGAACGAGCCGACTTATTAGACATAAATGGGCAGATATTTGCTGAACAGGTTCGATTCATCTTTTAGGCTCCGTTTCTAGTGCAAATCTCAACCAGATATAAAATTTGCACCTGGTTCTGTTTTGCATCCATTTGTTTGTAATTGTGATTTACACTCCTATCTGATAGAAAATTTGTACTTTTTGTCTCATTTGCATTCAATAGCAGTGCAAATTTTGCATTTTAAAAACTGATGCAAAATTTGCACCATCTTCCTCCTTCCTCAATTCTCTCTTATATAAAGTGGGAACAACATCATCTTGTTTCCTATCTCATTCTCAAACAAATAACCTTTCTCCTACCTCCATTATCTTTCATATAAGGTGGAGACCACATCATTTTACTTCTTACAAACAATAATATAAAGTCAAAAATGAAGCAAAAGAAAACTGGAATTTACACCCAACCTGTTTGCACTCCCATGCATTTACCCCAATGCAAAGGAAATTCACACTGCAGACAAAGCCTTAGTATCAAATATAACTTTTTATCAACTGAATTTCTGTGCTGGCTTTTTTCATAATATTCCTTTAATTACTTTTTTAATGCTAACTTAGGGAAAAGCACTCAATGCTGTTGCATCTCGTAATGTTAAAGTGATAGTTGTGGGCAACCCCTGCAATACCAAGTAAGAATTTTTTGAGAGAGAAAATTATTACTTTTGTTTGTCCTACATTGCTAAACTTGATCCATTTTTTGTGTAGTGCCCTTATCTGTTTGAAAAATGCACCAGACATACCTGCAAAGAACTTCCATGCTTTGACTAGATTGGATGAGAATCGGGCCAAGTGTCAGGTAGGTGGATTTGGAAGATTTGCAGTTGTCAATGCTATCTAATTGTGGTAATCACTACAAAATAAAAAAGCAAATTTATAGTAAATATTGATTCTGGTTTGTGCAGCTTGCCCTCAAAGCTGGTGTGTTTTATGATAAAGTGTCAAATGTGACTATCTGGGGGAACCATTCAACTACTCAGGTTATTAAATAGATTTTCTAAAAAATGGTTCAATTAGATAAAATGTCTTCCTTTTTATCTCCCTTGATTAAGATCCTCTTTGAAATTTGAATAGGTTCCAGACTTTTTAAATGCTAGAATCAATGGCTTGCCTGTGACAGAGGTTATAAAGGATACTGCATGGTTAGAGAAAGAGTTCACTGAGAAGGTCCAGAAGGTAATAGCCGTAAAGTAGACTACACAGAACTGATTAACTTGGTTTGTATGCAATGTACATTTAATCTTCTATTACAACGGATAAGATTTTATTTTGCAGAGAGGAGGCGTGCTGATTCAAAAATGGGGTAGATCTTCAGCTGCTTCAACTTCTGTATCAATTGTTGATGCCATAAAATCCCTAATTACTCCTACACCAAAGGGTGACTGGTTTTCTTCAGGGGTGAGTAGATACAGTGAGGGATATATGTTGTTGTGGATGTTTCTTTCACAAGTATGCTGGTTGAAAGTAATATTTTCCATTTTTTTCATTAATAAATTTCTTTGAACTAGATCTCCATTTTTTGAGAAAAAGGTAACGTATAAATTCATTAAACAAAGGTTGTGTTTGGTACAATTGCCACTTCTACTTGCAACGTTTTAGGTTGGTCAATACAAATTTTATGATAATATATATTTTTTTCTACCACGAATGCTTTTGAGTTATCAATACAACATTGGGTACCATTGTTGCTTCTTCAGGAAAAGTCAAATTTGGTGTTTCTACTATAAATGCCAACACCTAATCCAATGCCTATAGTTGTTTAGTGGAAGTGATTATCTGATGTGATGTGACAAGACAATTTCTCAAAAAATTTGTATTGACCAACACAAAACGTTGCAAGTAGAAGTGGCAATGGTACCAAACACAACCAAAATCAGCACCCATGTACTACAAGGGACTGTACATTGGGAACATACAAAAGACACTATATCTCCACATTTGATACAAAAACAAAATCAGCACCCATGAACTACTGTTTATGCATTGTATTGTTATGTTTGTTCTATATCAGGAGCAAAACTTGACTCTGAAAAGACTACTTTTCTGAAGTTTCACTTGATCCATATAAAAACAAAAGAAAATTACTTCCAGCTCAAGTACATGAGACTAGAAAAAAGCTATAAAATATTCAGTTATGTGCATGTTATAGTATCTACAATTTGTGTAGGTCTCATGGTGTGTTTGTTTTTCTTTCCTGTTTTACATATCCATAAATGTAAATAAGCATACCTTGGAATAAGGATGTCTCCAGTTGATAATGCAAATTCCAACAATGTCTTGTATGTCACAAGATACCTAAAACCTAATTATTGATTTACTACTGGTCACATGGTTCATGATGTAGCATATCTGCCAAAATGGATGGCTTATCTCAAACTTACTGCTTGCACTGCAATTCCAGGTTTACACCAATGGTAATCCTTATGGTATTGCAGAGGATATTGTCTTCAGCATGCCATGCAGATCAGATGTAAGTTACATATTTTACTCTTAGTGCTGCTTGCTTTGTTCAACTACAATTGCATGACATGCCTCTTAGTGTTCATTTGTAATGTTCAGGGAAATGGTGATTATGAGCTTGTCAAAGATGTGATCATTGATGATTTCCTCCGTGAGCGCCTAAAAAAGGTTTGGTTATTTATTAACCCATCTTTCACTGTGCCATCAGGCCCATCACCAATTCACCATATGGTAGATATGTAATGGTAATGTCTTATAAGAACCCCTGCCATTGTGTGCAGACTGAAGCTGAGTTGCTTGCTGAAAAGAGATGTGTCGCTCACCTTACAGGGGAGGTATGCACTCACTAGCCACCAGCGGGTTATAACATATAAAGACAATCACCTCTTTTGAGTGGCTAACTGGGTTGTAATCTGATATAAACTTTTTCAGGGTAATGCCTACTGTGATCTTCCTGAGGACACCATGCTTCCTGGAGAGATGTAACCACTTATCAGATAGAGTCCATTCTCTAAAGTTTGGTGGAGGCTGCTGACAGGAGTGGCTTCATCACAGAATAGAAATGTGGATCGAGTCTGATGCTTTTGGCTGTTGTATGTATAGTATCATATAATAAGTATACCAATAGGCCTAAGTGAAGAATGTCTGACAGGAAATAAATCTGGTCGGCAAATTTTTGTGGTTAACATGACCTCCAATGTAGCATCTTTGAGCTGGTATAGCGGTGCCTTTTTTTACCTTTTGATCCACCAGTTGGGTATGTTTAGATCTGGAGCATATTTGGATGTGTTGTTTACTTGTAGAGCTTTAATCTTGTATCCTATTTTGTACAAGCCTGAGTCTGACATTATTGATGCTTAGTGCTTTTGGTGTCAATGATTTCCTCTCCCTGCTTAAAAACACTCTCATTCAAGGAGATGCAATTTGAAAATCAAGATTAAAAAAGATGAATAACTCCTTTAATAAGTATTAGCATGAATAGTTCAACATGTGCAGCAAAAAGGAAACTTTGACTGATTCAATGATACCAACCATCTGATTAGACCAGACTATTGCAATGGGAAGATTAGTGCAGTTCTCAGACCAGAATTGCTGGTGCAGAACCTGTCAAATGGTGGATAGGTGGGTTCCATACTTAGGTCTACAGTCTACCTTCCAAAATTTTAACAAGTTTGTTTGGTCTTTGAATAAAGATGGGTCCTGTTCGGCTCTTCCTCATCCTTGTACAATGGACTGATGAAATATAACTATGAATAGTTCAGGTCTGGGCTCAAGGTAGTTCTGATCCTGGTACAAACCCTATAAAAAAAAACCCACAGCACAGGGTCCGGATCTACTGACCACAATACCCTGGCCATGGAATTTTCTCTTCGCTCAGTTTGGAAGGAGTACAAATGCAAATACGTAGAGTGCAAAACCTTATATTTTGTATGTATTTGTACTGTACATATTAGCATTTGTACTCTTTCCAAACTGAGCACCTAGGATAAATGTTGAAATAGCACTGTAAATCTTGAGGTTTGCCTACTGAAGGATGGCGTAATTGATGTATAGGGCTACAAAACATTCAGTAATCTTCAGCTGTCTCATTCTTCTGTTTTCTCTTTGTTTCGTTTTGATAGAATTGATTCTTGAGAATTAATGAACTAGAATTTGCTTTCAGATAACCTTTTTGGGTTTTTTTTTTTTAATAATCAACCATTCTACAGCCTAAGGCTGTGTGTTTGGCACAAAATTCCTTAACAACTTCCCCTCAACTTCCTGTTTCCCTAATTATTTTCTATCAAACCAAAAACAGCCTTCCCTTGCAATGAAAACCCAAATGATGGTTACCAACTACCAGACCTTAAGGCTGTTTTTGGTTTGAAAGAAAATAAGAAAGAAACAGAGAGGTGAAGGAAATATCTTAACAAATTTTGTAAAAATTCCTCAAGAACTTTCCTTCAACTTTCTACCTCTCTTATTTCTTATAAAACCAAACATAGCCTTAAGTACTCCATCAAATTAACATGATCCAAAATCATCGCTAAAATTTGCATTGGGCTTCAGCTGATAATAAGAAGTATGAAAATATAGTAGACATGATTTGAATTAATGAACTCCATTGGCCAAAAATGCTTGCTTACAGGATACCTTCATCATCTCTGGGACTCGGGGTGCAACCCAGGTTGGCCCGAGTTAGCATTTTACACTGCCTTTGGGCCCAGCCCATTCAAATTTTGACAAAAAAAACCCAATCGGAGCTGGGGCGGACCTCACAGTGCCATAAGGGAAATCTTCAATTCCCCCCAAAACTAGACAACATTACCTACCATTGGACATTTTCTTGGATGAAAATGACCACTCACACACTGGAATCCACATTCTCGAGCAGATCGGCCAACATTTGACAATTTCATCACCAAGATCAACCACTCATTAGTTTATCCCATTTGTGGTGTGTGTGTGTAGGCGCCATGATTGTATAGAAGATGCCCACTTAAGAAGAACAGTTTCAAAAAGGAGTAAACCTGAACCACAATGTAAGGTGGCCTAGGTGTCAAGTTGTGAGGCTTCACAACACCTTTGAAATTAGAAAAAAAAAATAGTACAGAAATATTTGCAAAAATAAAGATTAAATTCTAGTTCTAGTAGCACGAATTATTAAAAATAAAGTATGTAGTTAATCAAAGTAAGAGAGGGGTTGAGACCATGAAACCTAGAAAACTTTAATGGGTTATCATAATTTTGAATTATTACGAGGCAGCAAAAGCCATAATAAAAGGGCTGGCTCGAATCTCTTACTCATAAGTTGTTACAACATCTTTTCCCACGGAATATTATAGTTGTACATTAGAAATATCTCTTTTTAATTCATAGGGAGATGTTCCCAATACATGGCGGTTGTATTTCGTGGGTATATGAGAACATTTTGTGGGTAGCAGATCCGGGGTGATAATAAGTTTGTGCTGTTTACAAATCAACCATATCCCTTTCAAGCAAACAGGTTAAAACTCACAGGCTCCACTTCTCTGACAACTCCTGAACATGCTATATATATATATATATATATATATATATATATATTCGCTTAGTCAGAAGACATCACTAAAGGGGTACTCAATTTTGCCAAAGAGTTGGGTTTATTTTCAAATCCAAGTGCATGGAAAGTGATGGTGCGTGATTTGGAAGCTCCTAGCTGGAGGATGATTTGGACCTTAGTCGTGTAGCGAGCTGGACGAAACTATAAGATAGAAGATTAGAGCACTCGGGGTGGTTAACCCGGCGAGGTCGCTCTGATGCTTAAGTCAGTACTGTGTTGTGATTGCGAGCTAGAATCTGGGTTTAGAGAGCTTAGATGCAAATAATCGCGCATACCTTGACCATGGAGGGGTTGATGCCTTTATATAGCTGAGTTATTGCGGGGTTCCCGGAACAGTTCCGAGATCTGTGTTTTGAATGGACGAGATCCGTTTCCGCTTTAGTCGGGGAGTAATGTATTAGTCACTGAACTTCATTATCGCCGCCCGATTTGGATTGGGAGAAAATAAGACTTGCCATTATGCGGTATGATCCCATAATATCCAAAGTCTGTTGGGAAGCTACTGGGATTTATTATGTGTCACTTCGGTTCCTGGGCCCTGAACTTGATTAGCCGCCGAGGTGGTATTACGTTGAGGTAACTTGTTGTCGAAGTGACTTTATGCCGAAGTGACTTTACGCCGAGCTCCGCATACCGCTGACTAGGATCCCCTTGCTGAGTTGTCATCCTACGTGCAGATCGCATCCACATGACTTTTATTTACTAGATCGTGCCAAATTACTCCTCAGCAGAAAGTGATTGTTCAAATCTCTATGTGTGTGTGTGTGTGTGTGTTTGTGTTTGGTCATATTGGATGGATCAGCTTTCAGTTTCAGTTAATTGGTCTTTGACCAAGTCAATGGTTTTTACCAAATATACAGGTTTAATTGTCTGCTTTAACAATCCAGGCAAACATTGGTTTGAAAATGTTAGTGTGGAAATATATAGGTGACTTAGTGGTGATTAAGGGTGTCAATGAACCGGTTTTGGATTGGACCCCGTCCAGTCCAAAATCAATTTGGACGAATTGGACGGACCAACAAGACATATTGGATTGGACCAATCCGATCCAAAATATTTATTAGATTGGATTGGACCTGACCTGTTCGTAACAAATTTATATTGGATAAGGTTGGATTAGACCAGGCCATTGATATAAGATAAGAATATATGTGTCAATGGACAAGGTTTGGGTTAAAACCAATCTAAATCAAAATGAATTTGAACAGATTGGATGGTCCAAACATTGAATTGGACCGGTCCAAATTGGTCCAAAACATTCATTGGATTGGATGGGACCTGGTCCATTTATAATGGACTCACATTGGACTGGATTGGATTGGACCAAATCTAGTCCAATTGACACCCTAGTGGTGATGTCAGGCCAATTTCTCATTTCATTGCACGGTTTGCATCGGGAACTCTAGCCTGCTTTTTTCAAATTGGGTCGGGTCAGGCCAGGGCTCGTAGGTTGGGTCGACTTTTTGCCAAGTCTAAACCTATCAATTGAGCCATCATCAATTGGTGCATCATCAAACTTCTGTTGGAGAATCCTCTTACCCCTCTTTGGAGGATTGCCACCATCATCCGCATTGGGAAGTTTGGCCACTTCATTAAGGCTGTGTTTGGTTTGAAGGAAAAAGTAGGGGAAGGAAGGGGAAGATAGAGAAACATTTACAAACCTTGCATAAATTTCCCTGCCTTTTCCTTCTTTTTCCTAACTTTTCCTTCAAACCAAACATAACCTAAATTCCTTTTTTTCAATGTACAATTGTGCATTTTCTTATTTGTTCTACGGACCTAATTTAGCGTAATCTGATTCAAATATCCAGAGCATCTTCACGTAGACCGCTGTAACACAATTCCTTTTTAGAAATTTCTTGTATTCAATTCTTCATTATCTTAAATATATTGATGCTTTGCAATGTGCTAAAAAAAATGAAAATCGTTCAAAACCAACAAATTCTTCAATCAAAATTTCCGATTTCAATAGAATGGGGTCCATCTATATATTTATTTCAATCTCGGAATATTTCTCCAATTGGCTAGATACCCATCTTTTCACTTTTTTTTTCTAAGTTACCCATCTTTTCACTTAGGAAACCGATTTCATTCTCTACTGGCCCCACTATTTAAGAAAAAGAAGAATAGTTCACATCAATGTATGTACTGTTTTCTTTTTTAAATTATCTGATAGTCACCGAAATTTATTTTATTTTGTGAGGCTCAAATTCTTGAGAATCAAACTCCGGAAAGTAGTTAATGTCTGGGAGAACCCCACTAAATGGATGATATTAAGTGGAAATTCAAAGGTAGAAAATGAACATAATTTGATAATCAAAATATTTCTTGACATTTTTCATTTTCATTTTTCAATTATATTTCAAAAAAATATATATAAAGGAGATTAATTCTTAATTTTCACCTTCCATGGCTCTAAACAATTGAAATAGAATTAGGGTCCGTTTGTTTGCGGGAATAGGGGTTTGGATTCAGGTTCAGAATGGTCCAATCAAGGTTGGGTAGAATTGGAATCTCATTCCCATTCTTAGTGGAATGGATGACCATTTCTTCCCCCTCTCTTGGGAATGAGAATCCATTCCAACTGATTCTGATTTTGATTTCTGTTTGAACCAAGCAGCGAGAGGAATAGATTATTCCAATTCTGATTATGATTCCGGTTGCAAACCAAAGAAACCCTCTATCGGGATTCAATATGTGAATTGTTTTTCTTGTTGCAACTTCCAAAATCAAAACAAAAATCAGCTGGTTTGAAAAACAACTTGATTCTTAAAACAAAAACACAACTTTGATT